AAATGTGGAAGCAGGTTGTGATCGGCGCAAAATAGGAACACCTAAGTGCGAAGACAGATCAAAAAAACATCCTAAGAGAAACAAACGGCGGACTCTTCTTGATGTAACTCGTCAGAGTTACATCAAGAAAAGCCGAGTTGCTATAGTTTTGGACCACCCTGTATAATCGAGTGTACAATGGAGTCGAGAAACGCTCGCTTGTTTTGTTTTGTTTTGTTTCGCGCAGCTTTTACCTAAAAGATTTGCCTAAAAATTAAACTCTAGAATATATTAGGTTGGCAACTTAATAATGACGCGTCACTACTTAACATGTTTTTTGTAATTTCAAGCACCGTTTCTTCCCTCTTTTTGCATATATACAAAGTAAAAGATGTCTGCATAAATAGCATTTAGTGCTACAAATTTCACCATTCGCTTTTTGGCAAAAAATGGAGGACAAAAAATTCCGTATTCGAGCTGTATTGTTCTACGATTTTCAACAAGGAAAATCTCCAGCTGAATCTTATCACACGATCATCACTGTTTTGGAGAGGAAAGTATACACATTCGGCAATGTCAACGATGGTTTCAAAGATTCCAAGGCGGCGATGGAAGCCTCGTAGACGAGCCACACCAAGGACATCCTCCAGAAGTGGTCGACGATGACTTGCTCGCCTTAATTGAAGATTGCCCAACACTCACCGTTCGTGAGTTGGCAGAAATATTTTAAGTATCCCATACGACAATCGAAAACTATTTACACACTTGGGAAAAGAATCGTGTTGGAAAATGAGTTCCTCACGATTGACCCAAAGCAACAAAATGGCCCGTGTCAATGTCGCCTCAATTTTGCTACAAAATGTAAATCGAACGACTTTTTTCACTTCTGACGAAACGTGGATCAACTACGAGAACGTTAACGCAAAAATCAATGGCTATCTGCTGGGCAGACCCCTCAAACCACTCCCAAACCTGATATCCATGGGAAGAAGATAATGCTCTGTTGCTGGTGGAACTTCAAGGGATTGGTGCATTATGAAGTGCTGAAACCTGGCCAAACCGTCGATGCTGATCTTTATTTGAAGCAATTAATGAGAGTTAACGAGTCTTTGAAGAAATTGGGGCTCAAACCGGAGAGAGGAGTCAGATTTTTACGCGAGAACCCAAAATCTCACACTGCAAAGATCACTTATAAGAAAATCGTGGAACTTGGCTGGAAAGTTTTGCCCCACGCGTCTTATTCACCTGATCTGGCTCCTTCAGATTACTTTTTGTTTCGGTCGCTGAAGCACTTTTTGAAGGGAGAAAAGTTCGATGATCATGCTCGGATCATAAAAGCAGTGAATGACTACTTCACCTCAAAAACTCCCAAGTTCTTCGAGGATGAGATCCGGGATTTGCGCAGAAGATGGGAAGAAGTCATAGATACTAATGGAGAATACCTTTTGAATTGAAGGCTCTTCTTTTGTGTTTTTTTAAAATAAATGATTTGTTACATAAAACGCGTCATTATTAAGTTGCCAACCTAATAGTAAATAATTTCATAATTAAATAGAGATTTAATTGTGAAATTTGAAGGAATTTCATGGTGGTTTTTTATGGTTAACGAATCTCAATGGACTTTAAAGTTGCGACAATTTTCGACAAAATCTTTTTTGATGGTTTCAATATAGATTTTTTCATTGTCCACTAAAAAAATCAATTGATTTCTTTCCTATTCAATTCTCAAAATCATAAAGATTTATTGTGGAACCATAAAGAGATTTGAGAGAAGATCCAATGCTTTTTGAGCGCCAACCCAATATATTTTTGACGCACTGGATCCGGTGGGAGTTGGCTGAAGTCTGTGGGGAGTGCAGCCAAATTTTTTCTTTGTAGGTCATCTTCAGCGCTTAGAGAAAATTTGAATGGTCCTGACGGCACCAAGTACTATTGGCACGATTTGAGAAAAGATCCAATGCTTTTTGAGCGTCGAGACTTCGGAGGAGGATCCAATCGGCGCGACCAAGATGGCGAGGCTGGCTCGGTCCCTCACCGCTCCTCCTTCTATACGGATCCGAAAAGGGAAGCACCTTGTACCAGGTCCCTCTGCCAGATCGCGAGCGATTACACGGCTGCACAAAGAACCCCTCCCCAGTCATTTACTTTTTCTTTTGCTTTTGCTTTTTAGATGATATAAAGAGATATCCACACCCACACTTCATCAAATTCTTTCCTCAAATGCCACCAAAACTTCAGTGTTCAAGAATGCAATCACAAATCGACACAAACTCCATTTCTACGCCCACTTGTTATTCAGCCGTTTTTTTTCGCCGAAATGCACGCGAAATGCTTTTGTATTTTGCAGTGTTCGGAACTTTTTATCTCTTTTCTTTCTTTTCTTTTAGCGAACATTTCAGAGAACAAATAGCTTAAGAGAATTGAACGTGAATTCTTGCATGAAAAAAAAAGATTTAAAGCAGCAGATTGGCGTATTTATTTAACTCCAAAAGTTCTCTCTATATTCGTAAACATTAATTTCGTTTTTTCTTTTCTTTTATAATGGATCTCGAATTTCAACAAGGTTTCCTCGATTATCACTACTCGAAAGAGTTTCCGCATCCGAATGAAGGTTTGTTTTTGGTTTTAGTTAAATGTTAAAGTTGTTTGTTAAATGTTAAAGTTAAATGAATCAAAAAAAAATTCATTTTGGTTAAAATCAAAGAAAAAAATGCTAGAAATGAAATTTTTTGAGTAAATTTTTAATAAATATAGTAAAATAGCATTTATAAAAGTATAAAAAAAAACTTGAAAACTTGAAAACTTCAAAAATAGAAACACTATCAAACAATGGATTGTCAAAAACTTTCCTCATTCGCTGCATTTTGTATGGACTTTCGAGTGGCAGTGGAGCGATGATGGCACAAGTTTGTTCCTTGGAACATTTCTTGAGAAAAACCAATCCCATCTTCACTATAAACTACAAACACTTCTAAATTGCTTCAAATCTGCCCAATTGACATGATCTATAGGTCAAAAAAATCGAGAATCTCAAGAGCTTTCGCATGAACTAAAGCACACTCGAAAATATCAACCCTAAAGAAAATTTTAGACTTTAAAAAAAATATCAATTCTAAAGAAAGTTACAGTTGTTTGTAGTTCGAAACGGACCGTACTCGCGCGTAGTCGAAGCGATTGAGTTAGGCTACAAACCACTACAAACTTTCTTTAAAATTGATATATTTTTTTGAGTGATAATGAAATAATCGTCATTAGTACGACTCCACCGGTGGATTGTGTGGTGTTAAAAAAGATCTTTATAGATTTTCTTTACCTCTTCAAATAGATAAAAATAGATCTTTCTTTACCTCTTCAAATTTCGGATTTCGGAGCTAAAGCATTTCGGAGCTAAAGCACACTCAAAAATACGAGCGCTAAAAAAAGTTACAGGGTTTTAATCGCTTCGACTACGCGTGAGTACAGTCCGTTTCGACAAACCACTGTAACTTTCTTTAGCGCTCGTATTTTTGAGTGTGCTTTAGTCGATTCGAAAGCTCTTCAGATTCTCGATTTTTTGAGCTATAGATCATGTCAATTGGGCAGATTTGAAGCAATTTAGAAGTGTTTTTAGTATGACAGTTTATCATTTTCCTAGTTTATAGTGCCGATGTCTTGTCTACTTGAAACATTTCAGACAATCTCAACTCTCAACGTTCCATTGTTGTATCTTTTCAATAAAACAAGCGTCGAAATGCTGGGAATTCATGATGGGTGGGGGATTTGTGTAAAGCTTGTTTAAGTTTATTTTGATCAGTACATGTGACAATTAAATCAACAATAAACAGTTAAAGCCCAACAATAAACAGTTAAATTTAACCGTCTCGTAAGTTGATTAAAACTCAAAAATCGCTCTATCTTTACTGATCAACCATCCTGTTGTATGAAAATCAATTTCAGCGGCTCTCTTCTTTTATCATTCGCCACTTGGATGGCGATGTCTGGAATGATCTTTTCAATTGCTGCCCTCATTCCATTGATTGATTATTTTGGAAGAAAATTTATTTGTGTCTACATCAAGTATCGTAATCTACTGTATATAATTGAGAGCTGTCTGTCCGTCCGTCTGTCCGTCCGTCACCCTCTGGATCTCGGCTCCCCGTGAACCGATTTCGACAAACTTTTTTTTGATCGATAGGGAATTAAAAATGAATAGGTACATACTTTCTGGTGAAAACAAGTTTCTCATCAAAAACCCGTTAAAAAATCAGAAAAACTAGTTAGGCGCGACCGGGTGGCGTGGTCGAGGTGGTTAGCGTCCCGTCTACAAAATGGCAAAACGGTTGTGTCGGGTTCGATTCCCGTTCGTTCCAAGCTTTTTTGCTTTAGATTTTTTCAAGCATGGAGTTGAAGTCCGCAAATTTGAGTTGCTCTTTTAACTCGAGAGATCAAATGCGTTAGCCGCAAAACACCCAGCCAGAAAAACCCGCCCTTCGGCTGTGCTATATATAAAAGAGTCGCGACTGTCCGTCCGTCCGTTTGTACGGACTTTTTCTCAGCCGTCTTTGGGCCAAAAAAACTGAAACTTCTTTAAAAAACCGTAGAATATATTGTACTTGTGCCATTTAAAATAAAAATTTAAAAAGTTAAAATGAAGTGCCACTACCGGGCTCGAACCCGGATCGTGTGGGTCGTAGAGAAGCGCGCTCCCGACTGCACCAAGAGCGACAAAGCGCCTGGTCATATTGGGGATTGAAAAATCAAATTAGATCTAATTCTATTAGAATAATTACAATGTGTTGTACTCGTTCTAAACCTAAAAACTTTTTTCTCTTAAAAGTTTCGGATTTTTTTTTGTTTTGTTTTCCTCAAAGTGTACCCTCTCAGTACATTGAAAAAGACAATATTTTGTGCTTTCTTGGAGGCTGATAAGAACAAAATCTTGCAAAAAATGAACCTTCAAATCAGAAATTTGAAGAAATGCGAAGAAAAAAGGCGAAATGAATAAGTTTAGATTCTTATTTACATTTCTCGGCATTGCATTCATGATCGTTGGATGGAATTACGAGAATGCTTTCTTTTACTTGCCCGGATTGAGTTTTTGTGTCATTTCTGCGGCCATCATCGGCTTGGCTGATCCACTTTTTATTAGTGAAATCTCACCGATTCAACATAAAGGTAAATCCATTTTGAAATCCATTTTTAAATTAGCAATAAAATTATGTAGGCTTCTACACGGCCACCACTTTGGCGTTCGCCGGTGTATTCAATGGGATTTGCTTGGTGTTGGCGAGAGAAGATCTATGGGGAACACCACAAAAATGGGGATATATTGCGATTTTGGCACAAGTTCGACATAAATCTAGAAGATTTTGTGAGATCTATAAAAGAAATCATTAGTGCGTGAACATTTTCGTCCCAATCAGCGGCCTCTTCTTGCCAGATCAATCGGCCGATTCGCAAGGTAAGAATTTTTACATTAAATCGATACTAATCATTTGAAAATGTTTTAAAATGAAATCAAGATGACAAGCTTGACTTGATCTTGACTTGAGCTTGACTTGAGCTTGACTTGAGCCTTGATCTTGCTTGATCTTGTCTTGAGTTTGTCTTGATCTTGTCTTGAGCTTGACTCGATCTTGTCTTGAGCTTGTTTTGATCTTGTCTTGAGCTTGTCTTGATCTTGCTTGATCTTGACTTGATCTTGCTTGATCTTGTCTTGATCTTGTCCTGATCTTGTCCTGATCTTGTCTTGATCTTGTCCTGATCTTGTCTTGATCCTTTCCGGAAATCTTTAGCTCAAAATATTGTCGACTTTTACAAGAAACACTTGGCAAAATTTTCAACATTTTGGGAACAAGAGAAACAAGAGAAATATGTGAGTCTAGGAAAAGCTTAAAATTCTAAAAGCATTTCAGAAATTGATCCTCTTAGTTTCTATGCAAATCTTTTTAATGGCAAATATTTGTCTAACAGAAACATCGTTCTCGATTCCGATCTATCGTGAAGAAGGACTTGATACAAATCAAGTAAACAGACAAATCTTTCATCCAATCAACATACTTTCAGACTTTAACAATGATACTTCTTATCTTCATTGTTTCCATCCCAACGACCTGGTTTGGGCCAATGCTGATTAATAAGTTGCAAAGGAAATCTCTCTTCAAACTTTATCTCGCAATCTTGATCTTGAAAGCGCTGTTACATGTGGTGAATGCGTCGATACAATTGTCGATTCTGAGTGAGGATTTTATGAGTTAAGAATGGGATTTAGGCCTGAAACAAGGGTAATTTTTCTAGGCTAAGCCCCGGTTTTGAAGTTACATTTCAGGAGCGATCTGATTACAGTTACAGAGCGATCTGATTCCAGGAAACACCTCCTGGTTAAGAGGATCCCAAAACTGCTTTCAAATCTTCCCTTTCATAAGCCATTTTCAAGATATAAACCTTCAAAGTTTCGGCCTTCAAAATTTCGCCAAACAGCAAGCTAGCCTACTTAAAGTCTTGTCGCCGGGCGTCTAGATGCCTTGGTAGCCTACTCGGTAGTGTGCTAGTCTCTCGCACCACTCCTCGCTGGTTCGAATCCTCTCACCGCCTAGGCTTTTTTTGTTTTTTATTAGGCATAAAAAATTATTTTTAAGTGAAGTCTGAAGTTCCGAAGCCAAAGGCTGTCTTTATACTCGTCCTAGTCTAGTCTGGCTAGGCTTTATAGCCCTTGTATACACAAAAGTTCCTGGGCATGTCAGATGCCAGGCCTGAACCTGGTCTAGTGTTACCTGGCCTGACTGGCTTACTTCCCCTTGTCTTTCTCTCTTTCTCTTCGCAAGTTGAGGTACCGGATAGCTCAGTGGTTATAGCAATGAGTAACAAGCAAAAACTCGAGGTCGAGGTCGAGGGTTCAATCTCCTCTCCGGAAATCGACCTTTTCTAGCTAATTCCTTCACTTCCTTATTACAGTTCTAGAGCTGATTTGAACATTTACTTGTTTAACAGATCATAGTTTATCTATTTAGGTTATTTGAATGTGTTGTGTTACCGTATTTTGGAGGGCTCCGGTTTCCCAGCTCTCACCTACGTGGTCGCCACCGAAATTCTCCCCAAACAATTTGTGGTCACTGGTGGGCAGGTGAGAAATGGTTTTTTATTCGAAAACTGGGAAAAAACTGTTCTCTTGTTCAAATCTAATTCTATTCTTGATTCAATTTCTAAAAAGTTATTTCAGTTTGCCATGATGGGCAGTTCCCTTTTCATCGGTTTGATCGCCACGTTGACCCCGCTTGCTGTTGGTCGTTTTCTTCAAATCTTTTTCCTACTCATTACCTCATTTTCCATTATTCTCTGTGCAGTGGTGCTTAAATTTACGAAAAAATTGGATGAAGAGGTAATTGATGAAATATTGGGTTGGTGAATTGAAAACTGCCGGACTTTGAACTAAAATTTATTGAACATAAAACCATGAATTCATTCGAAATAATTTCCATTATTATTGACGACTTCTGCCCATTTTACAGGCAATTTGCGGATTTGCGGATTCCTCTTTCGTAGTAGGATTTTGGTTTGTGTGTGAGACAAGTGTGAGACTCAAAAATGGAGGATTGGAGATGTCCCAGTTTAAGCATTTGAGCACTTTCTTCAAAAGAAACCCATTTTGGTGTCAATAGAAAAGTTGTAGAGAATCAAAAATTAGGCTTATAGCCAAATTTCCAAAAAGATACACTTAGTAGTTTCGCTTAAAATGCAAGTTTTGTGAAAATTCGTAAATTTGGCATTTCTTGAAAACCAGTTTTTGAATCGTTCTGAATATTTGGATAGAAGCTTGTTTTTGATTCTCTACAACTTTTCCATTGACACCAAAATGGGTTTCTTTTGAAGAAAGTGCTCAAACTGTCACATATGACAATAGCTCGCAGTTTTCAATTCACCAACCCAATATTTTGCTGATCTTCCGTTTAGAGTCTCGAGAAAAAGCCTTTGTTGTTGAGTGAAGAAGAACCCCCTGATTATTCTACAATTTGATTTTTTGGTATTAAAATTTGATATGTAATAAAACGATTTTAGAAAAATCTTTATCACACAACGGTACCCAGTATTGAGAAGAATAGATTTTAAAGAATAAACCAAGTCACAAGAAAAGCGAGAAATGAATACTTGCCAGATACTTTTGCCCCTTTGCATCTTTGCCTCAGCAAAATGTTAATATGCAAATCGATCTGTAAATCGATCTGTAGCTTAATCTGCTAATTAATCTGCTAATTAATCTGCTAATTGATCTTTACTTCATTGAATTTAATTTATCCTAGGTTTGATATGATTTTCAATAGATTAAAGCTAGAATAAATGAAGATTAACCTACGTAAATGCCATAATGACGGTGCGGAGTGTTGCGTAGTCTAGTTTTGAACGAGTTTTTCTCGACACTGGTTTATGTTACAATGCGCGCTTAGGTATCAAAAAATAGCTGAAATTGAGGGCTATTTTTTGGTACCAAAGACGCATTTTTTGAAAGTACGGGCGCTTTGAAAAAATGAAATACTAAAAATACTAAAGGACTTTTGCGACTACGCGACTGTACGAGGGGGGTGGGGTACTATTACAGTATTTACGGTAAGTCTTTTTCCCGTTTCTTTGCTGAATTAGAAAGAGTGAAGAAATTAACATTTATCCTCTTTTCATCGGCGGGCCAAAGATGCAAAAGTATCTGTTAATCAATGAAATGAAAATCTCTTTCAACTACTGTTACTATTCTCCGAGCATTCACTAACAATCAACAAAGGGATCATTGCCGGAACACTCTGTCGT